GGTAAGACTAAAAGTAGTAAACCCTAATTTATTTTATTTATTTATTTTAACACATAGATATTAGTACAAGGTGGGATCAAATACATATGCGCCACACAGATCTCATTTGATATGTGTGTAGGCTGTGATACTGCTCGGGTGCACAAACCTAAGTAGATGGGTTTCATAGGGGGCCACACCCGGAGCTTTCGACCTGAAGATCTGATCCACAAGGCCGTGGAGCATCGTAAGGAAATGCAGTCCCATGGTAACCGGTGACCAACGATTGGTTCATACGTCATTTGTTTCCCCAGGATACTAGAGCTAGCCCATGTGCACCATTGGTTTGTGATACGGTTAAAGCCGGTGCTGAACATTCGCTTTTCGTCCTCTCATTTTCGTAAACAACACCCCTGCCACGAGAAGAGTAAACCCAGGGTCTGAGGGCGAAGTCGTACTACTGATTGTACAAAGATGTGACGGCAGTATTATGTTTCCTTCAGACAACCAGCATAACAGCGATGCTTCCTTCCCACAAGGAGGGCTGCAGTTACACACCTCGCTTTATCCTACGGATATCCGTTTTCGGCGTTAAGGTTTCAACAAGTACGGAGCTAACAAGAAAATTACTCATAAAAAGTTCATGTGTGGCCGAACTCAAGCAGTTGTCCCTTGGTCACTGTGGTCAACAAGACCACCTCTAATCTAATTTCCTTTACAGTTATCTCTTGAAGAACTCTTCTACAGTGTGGGCAACCACCAAGTGATAATCACCTTCATACTTTTAACAGCACTCAAGACCACTGTGTTCATAAATAACTTGAATATTTTAACATTTCCATTAAGTATAAACCAATAGAAAGTCTTACGAGAAATATATTTTAATATTATCTTTCACAAAAGTATGATTTTACATTTTTTTTTTAATTTTAATTCTAGATTACATATGGTGGACGTGTTACTGATTTCTGGGATCAAAGATGTTTACGTACAATACTTCAACGTTTCTTTCATCCATCTACATTAAAATCAAATTATGTTTATTCATCATCTGGTATTTATTATCCACCAACTAAAGAAACTTTAATAGAATACTTGGAATATGTATCTAATCTTCCATTTAATTCATCACCTGAATTATTTGGTATGCATGAAAATGCTAATTTAGTATATCAGGTAATAAATGTTCTAATATAAATGTATAAATGTAATTTCATATATGAATATATTGTTTTATAATACTTATTAATGATTAATAAGTAGTAATATGACAGTCTTACAAGCGGTTATTGACAATGATACCATTATGATACAGATATTGAAATCTCACATAAAGTATAAATGTTATCAGAATCATAAACGTATGATTTATTAATGATTATCAATCAGTACAACTCTTAGATTAAGTAGAATTTACTGTGAACAAACTAGAACACTAACAGCTACTCTATGACAATTGTTAAATAATTGAATAATTGAATTCATGAGCCGATTAGAGCTAGAGCACCGTAGAAAACCTGGAAACATTAAACGGCCTCAGTATAGGACTCATCAAAAGTGCACATTCACGATTGAGCCCTCGGAATTTGAACTTAGGACCTTCGATCTCTTGTACAAACTTTTAACCTCTAGATCATTGAGTCATCATCCAACGGTATTAATTAACAAATCAATATGACAATTCATTATGTGGTTCTACACATACTTTGACTAATCTATGCTACTATTGGATCTACAATAAATATGAATGATTAATTTATATTTAGTCATAGCCAATGATATGATTTTCTCATTGTTCTGTAGTGACTTATATACATACTTTCATTTCTTACATGATGAATGACTTCTACATCACAGTATTGGCGATCATGAACCTTTCTTTGAATCAAATTTCTCATTTCTAGATTCTAATGCTGTTTCTCTTCATTTCTCTTGTCTTATCAAGTTCGTCTTACGTTTCAGTAATGTAATCTATTGAAACTGGAACTCATGAGTGAACCTTGTCGATAACTGATTATGTATATATATATATATATATATATATCACCCTTTCTATACCTGTTCTTTACGGATCATGTTACCCTATATTACTTAATAATATTCAGTAGTTATGTGTATTCCATTAATATTATTATTCGATATTATAATCCGTTATATTTTTTAAAACGAACTATAAATGCTAACCATTTATACTTTTAATTCACTTTGTATTGTTTTACTTGAATCTTCCCACCGATGTTTAGGACTGAAATTGATCAGTCTCTTAATGGCATATGTGCATACTGTGTGTATTGACTCCATATCGTCTGGATTCCACTGCTAGCCACTACCCATCATTGCTTACACTATAAAAAGCTTGTGAATTAAGGCAATATCAAGGCATACGCACAGTGTGCACATATGCCAATAACAGACTGATCAATTGCAGTCTTAAACCTCAATGGGAAGATACAAGCCAAACAATACCAAGTGAATTTCAATTCACCCCATTGCACAAGCAAGTGGCTATCAGGACTCAGTAGCTCAGTGGATAGATAACGCGATGGCGTTTGGAGCGAATGATACTAAGTTCGAGTCCCAGAGTGAACATCAACTCTGAGATGCAGGTACATCCAGCTGACGAGTCGCAAATAGGACGAAACGCGCGTCAAACTGGATTCCACTGCTAGCCACTATCCACCTTTGCTTATAACATTTGTACTTTTATTTCAATGTTTCAGTTTGTTTTACTATATGTAATAGCATTTCTTCCCCCTTTTAGGTTATTTCATCTATGTTGTCTGTGACACCCCTTGATACTATTTGCATTTAACAATTGAATTCCCAGTGATGTTCATATTTATTTTGATGTTCATTACTTTTCTCGCTTGATACAGTAATGTATAGTCTTCTGATTTGTAGTTAGTTTAGTGATATTGTCTATATTATTCCCATTTTAGTAATCCACTTTCAGTATAAGGGTTGTGGAGATTATTAAGTTTTTGATTGAGATCATGAACCGTTTGATGTTAGACCACCGTTGGTAACCTGGATACACTGGACGGCCGTCTCATCCTATTGTGGGACTCCTCATCAGTGCGCATCCACGATCCCGCTCGCGAGAACTCTTAAACATGTTCCACAGTGCTGGTACATTATTTCATAGAATATCAGCATACTGTATCTTAACAATGTTTTTAAAAACTTCACGTAAGGTATTAGAAAATGATAGTAAATCAGTTGATAAGGTTGTAAATCTTCATTGACTGAGATGGTTGAGTTAGTTGAGATGGTTGTGTTACGTATACCTGGACACCGATTACCACAACGCAAAATGCTGACTAGTGTTGGAGATAGCTGGAAGAAAGTTAGGGGTAGTCGGACCAAAACGTGGCATCAGTGCTTGAAGTCACTAACTTCTAGTCTGAACCATGTTGGTAGATGCAGACTACTTGGTTGGGGTCCTCAGTGATTATCGTAACAAATGGTTAGAAACTCTGAGTTACATGGCTCAGAATTGATCACAATGGTGTCGGTGTATACACTCTTTGTCTTCCTTTAAACTATGAAAATGCATTATATCTTTGTTTTTACCACTTAATTCCTACTTCCTGTACTATATTTATTTATTTAAACACATAAACATTGGTATAGGGAGGCATCAAATATATATGCGCCACACAAATCATTCGATTTTTGTGAGGGCTGTGATATTGTACGTCTGCTCAAACCGAAACAAGTGGTTTTCTTAGAGAGCCACACCCAGAGCCTAGTCCACAAGGTAGTGGAGCAATGTAAGGACATGCAGTCTCATAGTAGTTAGTAACCAACATTAGGTTCATATGCTATTTGTTCCATCAAGATCCTGAATCACATATGCACCAGTGGCTTGGAATCAGAGTTTTCCAACTCCCCTAAGTGGACTCTTCGTGTCCACCAACCCGGTTAAAATACCGGACATTCGCTCTCTTTTCCCTTCAATTTTTGGTAAACAACACTTCGGCGGTGAAAAAAGGCTATGAGTAGGACTTCCGTAGCAACATAAAAAATTATCATTTTAATTTCAATAGTTAAGATCATGAGTCAGTTAAAGCTAGACCATCATGGAAAACCTAGAGGCACTGCAAGACCGTTTCGTCCTATTATGGGACTCCTCATTGGCAGTGCGCATCCACGACCTCGCCCCTGCGAGATTCGAACCCAAGACCTACTGGTTTCGCATGTGAGCACTTAACCACTAGACCATTGAGCCGGCCAGCCGGCATCCAACGGTGTTCATGTCTAACTTCAACTAATCCACCAAATTGACTGACACATCCACCATTGTCTTCAGTCAGTTACTATCTCACAACAGACCTTGTTGAATATTATCGTTCATAATTGTATTGCTTTTTATTTTTTTTTTGTAATTTAAAGCTTCAAGAAACAAATAATCTATTATCTACTATTCTTCATGTTCAACCACGTACAACTACATTAAGTACAGGGAAAACAAATGATGATTTAATTTATGAACAAGCTGATTCAATATTGAAAAAATTACCAGAAAAAATTAATATTGAAGATGCACGTTTAGATTTATTCGATATGGATAGTAAAGGTCGTATAGATTCATTGACTACGGTACTTACTCAAGAAATTGATCGATATAATATATTATTAAAAATTATTAAGGTATGTATATAAATTGAATAATTATAATTGATATAATAAACAAAGATGGATAGGATCTAGTAGTGGAATTCAGGATGTGTGTTTCGTCCTATTTAGGACTCATCAGCTGGATGTACTTGTTTATGACTTGAGACAATATCAAGGCAATCCGCATACAATGTACATATAATAACAAGAGACTGATCAATTGCAATCCTAAATAACAATAAGAAGATACAGGTAAAAAAACAATAACACCAAGTGAATATAACTTCACACTATTACACAAGTAAGTAAGTATCAAGACTAAGTAGCTAAATGGAAAAAAAGGTGATGGCGTTTGAAGCGAACGGTACTAGACTGAAGTGCCAGAGTGAACATCAACTTTGAGATGAAGGCACATCTAGCTGACGAGTTCCAAATAGGATGAAGCATGTGTCAAACTGGATTTTACTTCTAGCTACTATCCATCTTTGCTTATAGCTAACAATACGGTTCAAAATTACAAATTTGAATATACATTGAGATTCTAATTCAATTAATGAAGTTCTCTTGTTATATATTGAGTTATACTATACTTACTTACTTACTTACTAACTTACTTACGCCTGTTACTCCTCGCAAAGGAGTATAGGTCGCTTACCAGCATTCTCCATCCAACCCTATCCTGGGCAATCCTTTCCAGCTGTTTCCACTTTTTATTCATCCCTTTCATATCTGCTTGTATTTCCCGACGTAATGTGTTCTTTGGCCTTCCTATTTACTTCCTTAGCTTTCTAATAATATAAATAACTTTGAATAACAGATAGATTCTGTTCATTATATAAGAATCAATTTGTTAAACTAACATTTCCTTGATACATTAAAGCTTTGAGAAGAAAAGTAGATATTTATATAAACTTGAATTGATCAGTTTCATGATCTCAACTGTCATCACCTCTACATTAACAGTTAGTTTTAAACAATGAATCATAAAAAACAAACTAATCGAAATAACAAGTTCTGAGTACATGATGATGTAATTAGTTACCAAGTTGTTAACTATTCGTTAGATACTAATCTGTTCTGATCTATAAATATAATTGTGATTATTGTTTTATATTTCATTCATGGATAATAAATTTTATTTTAGATTAATATTATGAATGGATCAATGTTAGATCACTATTGAAAATTTGGAAGATCGTAGATCCTTGATTCAAGTCCTGCATATGGTATCGTGGATTCACACTGTTGAAGAGTTCCATACTAGAATGAAACGACTGTTCAATGCTTCTAGATTTTTAATAGGGGTCTAACATTGATCCATTCATGATATTCATCTGAACTCTATAATTTCCCCAACCCTATACTGATAGTAGTTTTTTTTATATATTTTTTTTGATTCTTTAGAATTCTTTGAAACAATTGAAAAAAGCAATTAAAGGTTTTATTGTGATGTCAGAAGATTTAGAAGGTGTCTATACGGCATTTTTACAAAATTCTGTACCAGAAATTTGGTCATCTAAATCATATCCAAGTTTAAAACCATTAGGTAGTTGGATAAAAGATTTAGTACTACGTTGTGATTTTATTAACACATGGATGATTAGAGGAAAACCTCTTTCATTTTGGATATCTGGATTCTTTTTCCCTCAAGGTAAATATATTTTTTTTTTGGTTTAACCAGTGAATTTGTTGTTGTGTGTACGTGTGTGTGTGTGTGTGGAACTAAAGTATAGAGTATATATATGGATTTCAATAGTTGAGATCATGAGTCAATTGAACCCAGATCATCACGGAAAACCTGAGTCATTTGTGAGATAGTAACTCACTGAAGACAATTGTGAATATGTCGGTCAATTTCGTGGATTAGTTGAAGTTAAACGTTAACACCATTGGATGTCGGCCAGATCAGTGGTCTAGAGATTAAGTATTCGCGCACAAAACTGATAGGTCCTGGATCTCGAATCTCAGAAGGCGGGACCGTAGATGTACACTGCTGAGGAGTCCCACAATAGGACGAAACGGTCATCCAGTGCCTCCAGGTTTAACTTCAATTGATTCATGATCTCAAATATTGAAATTACTACAACCTTCACAAAACCCTTTCTGATATATATGGATCATAAAAATATGTCGTAAATTGATTTATATTGATCAGAAATGTTAGGTCAGTGCAACTATTGAAAAAAAACACTTCCGAGAATTTATGTTTCAATCTTTTGCCTGAAAAATCTAATTCAAACTATGATATCGAAATGTTGTTGTCAAGAGATTAAACTCCCAATTCACGGTTCACATGATTACTTGTAGTCAATATTTGTTGATTATATGTAATGTGACTTGAAATCTTTTATAACTACGTATATATATGATCAATTTGGGGGGGGGGCTTCCTATAAATTTTGAATTTTAATCTAATCTTAAGACTATCAGTTCCATATTTAACTATTTCTATCATTATCATCTATATTACTGTTATTTTCTTCGGATCCTTTTTTTTTAGCTTTACATATGGTTAATTACTTTATTACTTATGCTAGTATTCAGTGTGGCAACTTAAATTGAACACTTTTAAAATCGATGAAATCGTTGTTACATATTGTGAATATTTTGACTGAAAATTGTTGTGTTGATTAGTCAGAACCGAGTACCGAAATTTACCATATGATAGGCAATTCAATATAATCTCAGCAATCTTACTTACTTACTTACTTACTTACGCCTGTTAACCCTTGTGGAGGAGCATAGGCCATCCATCAGCACTCTTCATCCAACTCTGTCCTGCGAAATCCTTTCCAGTTGTTATTCATCCTTTTCATATCTGCTTCTATTTTCCGACGTTATGTGTTCCTGGGTCTTCCTCTTTTCTGCTTCCCTTCAGGATTCCAAGTTAGCGCTTGTTTCTTGATGCAGTTTGATGATTTCCGCGATGTATGTTCTATCCATTTCCATTGTCTTTTTCTAATTTTCTCTTCAGCTGGAAGTTGGTTTGTAACCTCAACAATCACTGGCATAATATTAATCTATTTCAACAGTCTTGTTTTGTTTGAATATTACGTTAAAATAGACTTACTGAAATGATATATGATAGAATTGACAATACAACTACTCTTAAGTAGTATTTCATATAGAATTAATCTGTCCAAATTCTTAACATTTGAAAATGCACTTTGACAATGTACTAGACAGTAGGACAAACCCATCAATATCCATCATATGAAAGTATTTATTATCAGAAGGGGGTTTTCTGAAGATCTTAGTAATTTAATAGTTGAATTCATAAATCACATAAAGCTAGACCACCATGAAAAACCTAAAAGCACTGAATGGCCGTCTCGTTCTGGTATAGGAATCCTCAGCAGTGCTCATCCACGATCTCGCTCTCAGGACTCGAACCCAGGAACTCGATTTGTGCTTCTGGCTGCTTGTGGAATACACTTTTCCTCTTTTGAATCTGAACTTCTCTCTCTGTTTAGCGGGGCTGGAATGCATCGGAATAGTTAACTTATTTGGTCGTTTTGTCACAGAGTCTTCGATCCGTTTGTAAATAAGTTGAACTCGTGATCACTTCAAACATAGCAACTAGCTATAATATCCTGATAGTATTGATACGGGATATATTTATTATTCATTACATATGTACAAGATTTTGATGAAGTTTTTTTCTCTGAGCTGGATGGTTTGGTCGTGGAACTTTCATCATTCTTCTGAATAACATCATGAGCACAAACTTCAGATAGAAGTGAAGTGTTCAAATTTCTTCACATGTGGTTCACAGCTTGTCATGTACAACTCGATGTTGATTGGTTCCAATCAACCAAATTTGTGTTGATGATTTCGTTTAGAAGAACGATGAAAGCTCCACGACCAAACCATCCAGCTTAGAGAACAAAACTCCATCAAAATCATTTACCTGAGCTATAAATCTTTTCCACCATCTCGAGTATCAGTAATATTTTTATCTGATCACGAACAGAACAATAATTGTTCCCCCAAAAAGTATAAATATGACGGTGAGACTATAATTTATGGATGAACCAATCAGATTTAAGATAAATGCTCTCGGATTTCAGCGCAAAATTCAAACACTCATTTGACTAAATACTATTTCGGCATTATAGCTGATATCAGTTCATAAAGAAAACCATAAAACTAACTCGTAACCATAATCATCAATTGTAAACCGTAATTCTAATTCCCCATACTGGTCTATACCCTTCAGTTGGTCCTAGTTAATATGTGAACAATTTCAAGGTCATTTTGGTGTTGCTCAAAGGTTATCCATAAATTATAATCCCACCAAGTGTTTGTTTTTTGTTGTTCAGACCAATTTTCAATCTTCCTATGGTTTAGTGCCATTGTAAAGAACGAGAACATAAGTGAGGAAAATCGAATGTATTTTAGTGCGAAATAACAGAATCTCTTAGTAAAATTTGAGAATCATACAGTAAATCCAACATTTGCAAAATACCCTTTAATTATCTCAGACTTGTTTGATCCCTTGGTCTCTACACCAATCCCTCTCTGTTCTCATTCTCTTCTTTTCGATTTTCTTAACCTTCTGCCTCTAGGTATTTCACTTTTGATTGATGGATGATACATACTACTTATATCAGTCGATTGTAGTAATATACACTATAACATGTTTGTTTTCCACAGCTTTCTGAGTTTAATTCTAATCAATTCATATTTTAATTGACATTATGATGATATTAGTAAATGTTAAACTATATTTGTTATTATTAATTCACAAATTAAAAGTTCAATCAATCAACTTTGTTTAAATCATCCAAGGTAGTGTCTATCTACTCCTCTAAAATTTGGCTATGATTTGAAGTCCAGTTCATAAACATAAATCTTTTTATGACAATTTATTGATCACTGGATGGTGACCAATTTTATGCTTGTCTAGTCCTTATTATTAGTGCAGATCGAATGCTATCGACCACGTTGCAATGTGGCCACCAGTCTAGGTGACTCGACACTGCGGGCACTAATAATAAGGACTAGACAACCATGACATTGGTCACCATCCAGTGATCAATCAATTGTGATTACATCTCAGTCCTACAGCAAGTCGGCCGCCACCCAGATAGCTCAGTGGTAACGTCTCTGACTGTGAAACTGGGTGACACGGGATCGAATCCGTCAGGGTGTACCAGTTCCCTCAAAGATTACAGGTACCCCTTGCTGACGAGTGCCAAGTAGCACGAAACCTGGGTCCAGAGTTTCCTGTCAACTACCTCCAATCACCATCTAATATATCTTCCTAATAGTTCAGATCACGAGCACTGGACAGCTGTTTCTTCCTATAGAAAGACTCCACAGCAATGTGCATCTATGACTCATGATCTCAACTATATTAAAATTAATATAACAACCAAAACAAAATCCCTCTGATATTAATCAATATATACTCACCTAATAAAATGGCTTTTAGAGGTATTTCCTCTAGTTCTATTGAGAAACAATAACCAATGAAGTTCAACTGAATCTGATGACAATGGTAAACGGTGAGATGATTTCATGGACTAGTCAAACTTTAAACATTAACACCATTGAATGCCAACTAGCTCAATAGTCTAAAGATTAAACATTTGTACACAAAACTGATAAATCCTGGATTCGAATCTTGTAAGTCAGGATCATGAATGTATCGTTTAAATGAATTCAATTCATTTATACATTTGGTATGTATATCTATAAAATATAATATACTTATTATTTCATTTATTATTTTAGGTTTTTTAACTGGAATTTTACAAAATTATGCAAGAAAATATAATTATCCAATTGATCATTTAACATTTCATTTTAATATTTTACCATATTATCGTAATCAAGAAGAAATATCTAAAGCTATATCAAAACTTTGTTTAACTGAAATATTAGAAATCGATAAAATAATAAATAAACCAATAGATGGTGTACTTATACATGGATTATTTATGGATGGTTTTAGGTAAATATATGAATTTTTTCTTTTTTTTTCTTTCTTTTCTTTTTTAAAACAGAGAATGAATAGATAATAGATAACAATGGAATGTAGTTTAATGCATGTTTCGTCCTATTTGAGACTCATCAGCTTGATGTATCTACAATACTGTATTGATGTTCATTCCGTTAGTGAATTGAACCCTATATCATTCGCTTTAAATATTATGACTTTATCTACTTAGCTACTGAATCATGATAGCCATTGGCTTGTACAATGAAGTGAAAAGTTTAATTGAATAAAAGACTGATCAATTTTAGTACTAAATATCAATTGGAAGATTGAAGTAAAACAATATCAAGTGAAATTCATTTTTGTATTGTTTATTTAGATTTTCCTATTGAATGTTTAAAGTTAACATTGATCAGTCTTTGTTTATGATGTTTGTGAGTTAACACAATAACAAGACTATAATTTATGGATGACCTTTGAATGAACTTTAAGTAGTGTTGAGAAATATTAGCTAATCAGCAAACAGTTAGTATAGAGTAAAAATATATTATACAGAACCAAGGAAATAAAGTGGATACACTTCTTATACATGGTAGTAGAGGAAATCATCCATACGGCTACAGAATAGTCGGCCGCTTGAGCCATGATAAAGCCTCGAAAACTCTTTCAGCCTCGACCACATAGCTTCAATATTGTTTATGTGCACTCCGGTTGTTGAGTACACAAAATGCCACTTGTGGATAACGACACGATGCTTATAACTAAGCTTATGTAGGAGTCTGTACGCTCTCCAAATATCCGTATATATTTTAGTACCTGTCTGCAGCCAGTGTTACTGGTACTTTTATTATCCAGTTCGTAATAATTGTCATAATTTGCCTTAGTTAGGAATTATATATCGGGTTTTCATCACGAACTGATATCAGCTATAATGCCAGAAATCTATTTAGCCAAATGGATAAAAGACTTTAGCACCGAAATCCGACACCTGTTAACTTTTACCTGATTGATTCGTCCACAAATTATAGTCTCACCGTTTTATTTTTTATTTGTACAAAATTCCCTGTGAACCGGTCGTATTTTAGCACCGTATATTAGCGCCATGACCTTGAAATCTCTCCAACGCTTCTGATTGGCTCGTCCATAAATTAGAGTCTCACCATCGAGGCAATACACATATGTTAATAAGAGAATGATCAATCGCTGTCCTTAACATCAATTAGAAGATAAAATCATTATAAAATGAATTTAAACTTCATCCCGTTGCACAAGTAAAGTGGATATCAAAACTCAGTAACTGAGTGGATAACGTGATAGCGTTTAAAGCGAATGGTACTGCGTACGAGTCCCAGAATGGATATCAACTCTGTAATAGAGATACATCCAGCTTGTAATTCTCAAGTAAGATAGAATGCGCGTCCTGGATCCCACTGCAAACTATCATTTATTCTTTTAATGATTTCTTCTTAATTGTTGAATCAACTATAAATATTAATATGAAACGATAATCTCATTTAATACAAAAGACAAAAGTTGACTTTGGTATATGTTAAAATGGAGTGTTTGATAAAATCGTCAGAGATATCTAGCCCAATTGATTATCTTACTGACCTTAGTCGCTAGCCTTGATTTAATTATGTTGTTTTTTAGTATCCATGTCAGTATTGACTTTTGCTTAGTTATCCACGGTAGATTGATATCATTAAATGATCACTAGATCAACGTCTATTTTGATATTTTTTTATAATTACAAAAAGTATTACTGTAATTAACAGGAAAGAATCTATCATCAAAAGGTTAATACAAATAATATATACTAAACTTTATAAATAACAATCAATCCAAACTTGTAGTCAACGTAGCTCTAGGTTAACTTATTTATTTATTTTATTTTAACACATAGATATTGATACAAGGAGGCACCAAATATATATGCGCCACACAAATTTCATTTGATATGTGTGAGGGCTGTGATACTGCCCGGGTGCCCAAACCGAAGCAGGCGGTTTTCTTAAGGGGCCACACTCCGGGCCTTCGTCCTGAAGATCTGATCCACAAGGCAGTGGAGCATCGTAAGGAGATGCAGTCCGATGGTAGCCGGTGACCAACGATTGGTTCATACGCCATTTGTTCCTTCAGGATACTGGAGCCAGCCCATGTGCACCATTGGTTTTGGATCCAGTTAAAGTGCCGGACATTCGCTTTTAGTCCTCTCATTTTCATAGACAACACCCCCCGCCACGAGAAGGCAGTGATTAGGACTTCCCTAGCAAAGGCTACATACGCGTGGCTATGTGAGAGCATTTGGAGAGGGAGAGCGAACTCTTCTCACTCTTGGGCCGTACCAGGGCATTCGGGGGCGCTCTAGGTTAACACTTACAAACCTACCTCTAAAAACAATCTTAACTTGAACAAACGATCCTGTGTGTGAAATTATGTATGCTGACTGCTGAAGAGTTCCATACAAGAATGAAACAACCGTTCAGTACTTCTAGGTTTTTAATGGTTGTCTAACATTGATCCATTGATGATCTCAATCGAAGACAATAATTTAATTAAGGAGAAACATTAAAAACTACAAAACAATGAACAGCTATTCGATTGTGATTTAGAACATTTTATAAATAATTCAAGTCAAATTTTTTTCTACTTTCAAGTTCTTTAATTTTATAGAGATGATAATCTAACAGAAATAAGAATGTACAGCACTAAAATGAACAAAAAGAATAATATGTCATGATATAATCAGGTTTATCTTGTAACAATAATGCAAGCATGTTTGAGATACGATTCTCCCCCATCGAAATAAAAAATGTTGCTTCAGAATTGGGTTGCATCGACACCTGTACTAATGATAGGGAGTGAAGTAGTTGAGCATGTCGACCGTCTCACCTATCTAGGGGGTCTAATCAGTCCTTGTGATCTGGTCTGTGACAAAATCTCAGCACGAATATAGAAGGCTCGATTAGCTTTTGCCAACTTGTGTCATTTATATCATAGTCAAGATATCCGTCTATCAACCAAAGGACGGGTTTACTGCACAGCAGTTTGTTCCGTTCTAATTTATGGCAGTGAAACATGGCCGGTAGGAGTAGAGGATATTCGTAGGTTACTGGTATTCGATCATAGGTGTCTTCGAATCATCGCTCGTATACCCTAGGACCACCGAGTAAGTAATGCAGTTGTTATGAAACGGGTACTAGGTAAGGATGGCAAATCAATTGATGAAGTGGTGAAACTTCATCAGTTGAGATGGCTGGGACATGTGTTACGTATAGCCAACCACCGACTGCCCCGACGTGCGATGTTTCATGGTGTAAGAGTAGGTTGGAAGAAAGTTGGGGGCGGCCAGACCAAAACATGGCACAAATCCATGAAGTCACTGACAAGTGGACAGAGTGAGCCATGTTGGTAGGTGTAGACTACCTGGTTTGAACCCGTGAGACGATAGCAACCGATGGTTAGAGATCTTGAATGACATGGCTCAACATCGTTTGCAATGGTGTGCGCAGGTTCATCCACTCTCTGTGTTCTCTCAAACTGTAATTTTCTGGATTCTTCATGTCCTTTATTTTCTTTCCAAATTTATTTCACTGGATTATACTCCTTAAATAACATCATCAAACCCTAATCTTTCCGATTACTACTTATACTTTTACTACCTCTACCACTATGGGATTTGAATCGACAACTGTGTCTGTGTGTTAATGTGGTATGTCAACTTGAACTGATGTATGTACTTACGAAGTTCTACGTTGTTGCTAACTGACTGACTATAACATTTAACAGCAAGTTGATGTTCATGTAGACATATTCAAAGATATTTCATTTCCTTTTCTTTTTTTAAATTTATCCTTCTGTTGATGATATCAATGTTGTGAGTATCATCCAGATAAAAAAATACAATATCTATTCTATTACATATCCTTTTTTTTATATTTTTGAAATAACTTTTCTTAAATATTATTAATTCAACTATAAATTCATACTGGTTGAAATCATGAGTCAATTAAAGCTAAACCACCATGGAAAACCTGAAAGCACTTGACAGCCGTTTTAAATCTCTTGAGTGGCGGGATCGTGGATGCTCACTGCTGAAGAGTTCCATACTAGAACGAAACGGCCGTCCAGTGTTTCCAGGTTTTCTATGGTGGTCTATCTTCAATTGACTCATGCTTTCAACTAGTGAAGTTTCTAAAATCTTCACAAACCCCCCTCTGATATAAATTCTTATTTTCTTTGATTTGTTGTTGTTGTTGTTGTTTAAGATGGGATGATAAAACAATGCAAATAACTGATTCTAAACTAGGTGAAATGTTAGCTATTATGCCAATAATACATATGAAACCAGAAATGGATTATGTACCTGATTCAAATGATTATATTGCACCATTATATAAAACTGCAGCCAGAGCTGGTGTATTATCAACAACAGGTAAGTTTTTAATATTAAGGTATTTTCTCTTTTGTTTTTTTTTACATTTAATTGTTACTATTTAAAGACAATTTCATTTGTAAGTAGTATTTGTCACAGATTGATTTCATCTAAAGTATTGTTGAAAAACAAGAACAATTGGTAAACTGTTTCGTCCCAATAGGAAGATCTTCAGAGGTGCACAAACACAAGCTCTGTTAGAAATAAAACTCAGGACTATCAGCTCCATCGATTAACTTTAGTTACTACGACTACTAGCCAGGTGTCCGATATTATAATTTGGAAATCAGTTGATTTGTTATTTAACATTACAACTATTCCAAGTCATTGGTGACAAATGTTTCATTGGAGATACATTTAAATTTTATCACTCTTGACTTTTCATCAATAATTCATCTTGATTATCCTATTTGAATATTTAAATTGAATTTGCATTTTATAAATGTTAAGTTTACCTGTTATTCACTTATAATAACAAGTATATCTATCTCAATTGTTATTAGGGACTATTTCTACTAAATATCTAAGTATGTTTGTGTTGTTTTCTCTGAGTTGAATGATTTTGTTGAGGAACCTGTACTGTTCTTCTAAACCATATCATTAGCCAATATTTCATATAGAAGTGAGTTTATTTTAGTTATTTTACAATTTGATTCTGATCTTGTTTGTAATTTGTCATCATCGTAGGTTTTTATTGCCTTGATTTGTTCTTACCTTTATGTTGATTGTCTTCTTCGGTTGACCTTTGATTTTGTGATTGAATGACATCTTCTCTAAAGAGTTGACAACCTATTATGGAAGAGAACAAACTATCTTACACCTAAAGAGGAAATTAGAAAAAGACGATAGAGGTGACTAGGGCATACATTGTGAAAATCATTGAACTGCAGCACAAAGCAAGCCTTCACTTGAAATACTGAACACAAAAAGAGAAAAATACATTGCGCTGAAAACTAAAGGCAGACATCAAAAGAATGAATAGCACTTGACAACAACGGGGGGGAAGAGCTAAGGACAATATCCTGATCAGCGACCTATGCTCCAAGAAGGGTAACAGGAGTAAATAATGTAAGCAGCCCCCAAATGCCCTGATACGGCCGAGTGGGGATAGTCAACTCTCTCTCTTTTAAAATCCTCTCAAATGGCCACGTGCATACAGTCACTGACAGGGAAGTTCTACTCACTGCCTTTTCGCGGCATTACTGCTGTTCAAGAAATTGAGAGAACGAAAAGCGAATGTCCAGCGCCTTAACAAGGTTGACGTGCACGGAGGATCCACAGAGAGGAGTTGGAAAACACTGATTCCAAACCATTGGTGTACATAGGCTCCAAGATCCTAAGGGAATAAATGGCGTATAAGCCAATTATTGGTCACCGGCTACCATAAGACTGTATCTCCTGACGTTGTTCCACTGCCATGTGGATTAGACCTTCAGGTCAAAGGCTCCAGGTGTATCCCCCTAAAGAAAACCACCTGCTTCGGTTTGGGCACCCGGACAGTATTCCAGCCTTCACAGAAATCGAATAATTTGTGTGACGCATATCTATTTGGTGTCTTTTTGTACCAATGTTTATGTGTTTAAATAAATAAATAAATCAAAGTAATGTAAAGTTTCGAATTCTAATAACAACTAATACCCATTGAACAAGATGTATAATATTGTTGTGACGACGGACCACGGGTGAACTCGAGGAAGCTGTAAGAGGCTCAGAAGGAGTCGAAGATATTCCATCCAATCACCTTTCGGAAGAATATCCTAGAATTCCTACGTGTAGCTTCCCGATTGAACAAGGTTAATAACCCCCTGTATGCGGATTGGAGGACTGTAATGACGATTTCGTTCTTGCTAAAAAAAAAACTATAAATACCTGACAATTTCGTACCATAATTGACACTGGTTGGAATAATATTCCTTTCATTAGTCTTCTGTCTTCCCATTGCGACTTGGAAGGGTTTTGGCGTTCTAGTGTTCAGTTATACGCGGTATATCAAGTAACAAACTTCTAGACATAACAATTATAACTAACATTCCTTTGAAGTTTGAAGAGATGCATACATGGATTGAATACTTGTATTCAATTAAAATAGAATTCAGACCAGTTGGAGAGTCTACAATAGGATGAAACTTAGATCACATGCATTTCTTTTACTAGCCATTGTCATCTACAATGTTTTATATCATATTTAGTGCATATTTCATATATTTATATTAACTGAAATTTGTGTACAAACAATTTGTCTAAATAGTAGATCAATTAATCATCTTTTCAATTTTGTATTCGTTGAGTTTGTTTGTTTTTTTTCTCTTTAAAACCCCTATCAACCATAAGAAAAGATCAGGGTTTCATAAGTTTCCATCTATCATAACAAACTTCATTGTAAGATTATTATCATACAGTTATGGTTTATTACTGAAAGTTTAATAATTAAAAGGCCGAACATCCTAGGTCCATGATCTCATATGCGGGATCATAGATGAGCAATGCTAAAGAGTCCTATATTAGGATGAAATGGTTATCTACTGCTTTTAGGTTCTTAATGGTGAACTAGCTTAGATTGACTTATGAATCCAACTATTAAAACTCTCTACAAATCCCCATTCTGATAATACTATTATATTGTTATATTTCATTCATTAACTTATCTAGACTAAATTAAATGGAAACAATTAAGATGTCTTTGATTGAGATCATGAATCGACTGATGTTAGACCATCTTTGGAAACCTGGAAGCACTGGACGGCCGTTCCGTCCCAGTATCAGCCCTGGGTTCGAATCCCGCGAGCGGGATCGTGGACGCGTACTGCTGAGGAGTCCCATACTAGGACGAAACGGCCGTCCAGTGCTTCCAGGTTTCTAACGGTGGTCTAACAACAGTCGATTCATGATCTCAATCAAAAACTTAATAATCTCCACAACCCCAATAGTGATAATTAAGATGTCTGCCAGAAATAAAGTTTATATTGAATTTAAATAGACTATGCACTAGGATATATATGAAACGATAGACATTGAGCTGATATGTTAATACGGATGTCAATATTGAAATGCAAGGTTATGCATTTGACCCGTCTTAAACAGAATAACATACAAATCTTGGATTCCATTGGTGTTTAGCCATTCTAAATACATATTAGTAATGACATTTTATAATTTACATGATAATCTTTCAAAATATGGGATCAATAAATAGCCACTTAATTTAAGAGTAAGACTTCAGAACATTGTGTATCCACAAACACACTGAAGATGAAACCCACAGTCCTCTATGTATTGCAGCTAGTGCCTATCCTTTAGACGATTAAACTGGTACTCAGTGGTCTGTTTATATATCTAGCTTCAACCAAGCTGAAATATTCCACAACTATTTTCCAATGCTATTGGTAGGTGACAGCCTCAGATCCGGCACTTTCGAACTCTATTGTTTACAGTTTCGAATGACTGAGCCTACCAATTTCCTTACAGTCATCTAAAATTCATATTATAATTAGTTTTTATAAGATGATGTCTATCCATTTATCACATATTTATGAATGTTATTTTGTTTCAATTAAAGGTATGTCAACAAATTTCATAGTTGCTGTTCCATTGAAAACAAATAAGCCTCAAGCGTATTGGATTGAGATGGGTGCAAGTTTACTATGTGAATGTGTAAATCCTTAAGTAAAACAATCTTCAATTGGACAAATATAGAGAAAATTAATTACGATTGTACTTTTTTTTTCGTAACCTATCTTACAGAATACAGTAAATTACATAACTCATTGAGTTTCGTTCCATTCATCGTACATCAAACATATAGGTCAATCATAAAATCACTAACCTATGTTGATGTATTCAATTTGATATTCCACTTTTATTTACTTAATAAGTATGTAAAACACTATTATAATCGTGTTTTGTCATTTCACTTATCATCTTCAATCATAAAATATGATTATTTTGCAAATTCCATCTATCCATACGATTTAAATGAACAGTCAACGACGTTATGGACTGATATTATGTCTTTATTTGGTCACGTACATCTTCCTCCTCATTTACTGTTATGCTAGCCAGTATAAAATAGAGTAAGTTGTGATTAGCTGTAGGTGACACATATTCTAACTACCTTAGTCGATGAAAGTTTACAACTTTGTTAGCTGATCCGTCCTTACCTAGTATACAACACCTAGGTTTCAAAGATAGCATAAGCAAAAACCACAAAATTATAGTCTTAGGGAGTGAAGCCTAACATTCAGAACATCATGTACCATGTGGTTCGATTACAGGAGTAATATTTCGTAGGCTTATAACGTAAAAACTAGCCGCATATGCGCAATAGCAGGTTAGCATTGGTTAACAAGGGATGGCGAACGACTGCTGCCGGAACAAACAGGTTTCTCAGCCAATACAGCTCTACTATATCGTCAGGATAGCCAATCCTAACTACCGCGTCAAAGGACCAGCTATAGTAGGGTACACATCCCCATCTAGTCACATTTTACTAGTGATAAGCCAACACATAAACTGATACCTGTTAATTAAATAGTTCGACTTCATGGAAGACTTCCAACACATATGGAAAGCGAGTTCTCGTAGCCAAATATAATAAATATAAGTTCTGTTATTAATAATCCTACCTTAAATTTTCTAAGTAATGTTTGGTTTACTATCAATCATACGAATACTATTTTGAAACCTAATCGATCCGCCTCCTGTGCTAAAATCCTGTAATAACGCTAACTTTCAGATACCAACCCATTGGTTATATCCACTAAATTGTTTTTCCACACAATGTAAGATGTATTATTCCCGGCGACAGAGATAAAGTTCGAATTATGTAGACAATACAGAAACCCAAATGCCATTAGCAGCATCAAAGCATCGATGAAATAAGGGTTGGGACCCACCGAGGGAAACAAATGAAGGTTCAGTAGAATAACATGGGTTCATTTTACCCCGTTAGTCAGTCAGTCAGGAATAATAGGAATTGAAGAGGTAGGTTGATTATGAATACAGTGGTCTTGAGTGCTGTTAGAGATGTGAGGGCGATTATCACTTCATGGTTGCCCACACCGTGGAAAGGTCCTTCTGGAGGTACCCGGAAAGAAAATTGGATTAGAGGTGACCTTATTGACCACAGTGACCAAGGGACAACTGCTTGCAGTCGGTCACACAAGACCTTTTTATGAGCAATTTTCGTGTTACCTCCGTACTTCTTGAGAATTTACCGCCGGAGACAGATATCCGCGGGATAAGGTGAGGTGTACATTTTTAGGGTCGACCTTTTCTAACCCCATCCCTCCTTGTGGGAAGGCAGCATCGCTGTTATGCTGGTTGTTTGAAGGAAACACCATACTGCTGTCATACCTCTGTACAGTCAACAGTACGACTTCGCCTTCGGACCTTGGATTTGTTGCTTTTAGTCTTACCGCTCTTCAACCGACCTGTCTGGCATGGTAGGAGCGATTGTTCCAGCCAGTATAGCTGAGTTGCTTCATCACGATAGGCGAGCCCGACCACCACGTCAAGGTAGCAACAACCGTCGGGTTTACCCCGTTAGGTTTATGTCAGTTACATATTTACGACTTGAAAATATTACGAAAGCAGGATTTCAAATGAGATTGACCAGAAATTATTAAGAACATGTATCAACATGTCGTGGCAGGTTGAAATATAGTTAAAAGGACTAAATATTTGTGTAGCCCGTGAACTATGATCAGACTAAAGTTTTTAGTTAAATTATCCCATAGAAAGCTAACTCCTTCAAAAATGATTTGATTTTAATTACCCTGATCGTCGTCTATTCAAGTGTCGAATCCTCAGTACAGCTTATAAGATTTCGACTGACAATCATGAATTTTCCGACAAAATGCAAAAACTACTGGCGGAAATATGCAGTGACTTCAATTTCCAATACTAACATATTACGATAATAAAACAAGGGTGACCATGGTGAGACCATAACTTGAAAACAAACAAAAAACTTTCATATTTACAATTCCTTATGAATGTAACCTACATAGAAAGCTCTAGATATACTTTAACCCCACATACCTCACGGGCAGTGTGCTTGAAGCATGCTAACTAATGGTTAATAATGACACAATTTTGCAAATTTAGTTCAAAACAAAAGGATAAAAGTAAAATCCTTTACTGTATCAAGTGGAGTGCAGTCAGTTTTCCCTAAATTGGGATACATGGTTGGTATACTGATTCATCTAATGAGAACATGTCGACAATTTCAAAGGTAATCATGGAGCATTTATTAGTACAATCAGGACTAAACAACAAGCCAATAAATACAGATGGACTATATCCTAATTAGCTGAGGACATTGTTAGTTAAAGTGCCTTAACTATGACCAGGATTTTTTAATACAGACTACTACTACTACTAGTAGTAGTAGTAGTAGTAGTTTAATAATTCTCGGTGGGTGCTGTGCACTATAGAAACAACTTATTTGTAAAAACACAAACCACCTCCTTGCCACCTTTCATATGAGCGAAGACAAATTTTTTTTGATAAACTGAACTTATATCAAATTTTATTTATTTATTTATTTTTAACACAGGCATTTGTACAAGGAGGCAACAAATATATATGCGCCACAAAAATCTCAATTGATTTGTGTGAGGGCTGTGATACTGCTCGGGTGCCTAAACCGAAGCAGGTAGTTTTCTTAGGGGGCCACACCCCGAGCCTTCGACCCGAACGTCTGATCCACAAGGCAGTGGAGCATCGTGAGGAGATGCAGTCCCATGGTAGCCGGTGACCAACGATTGGTTCATACGCCATTTGTTCCTTCAGGATACTGGAGCGAGCCCATGTTCACCATTGGTTTGAAATCCGGTTAAAGTGCCGGACATTCGCTTTTTGTCCTCTCATTTTCGTAAACAACACTCGTAGTGCGAGAAGGCAGTGAGTAGAACTTCCCTGGCAGAGGCTATATACGCGTGGCCATGTGAGAGCATTTCGAGAGGGAGAGAGGACTCTCCCCACTCTCGACCGTACCAGGGCATTTGGGGGCACTTATATCAAATACTACAAGAAATGTATTTATTAGGGAGAAAAATGTAGTTGAATTAGGCATCATTGTTAGACTAAATAATTGGTAATTTTTAGCATCCAATAATAACTTTCAAAGATCTATTGAATAAATGCTGCCAGTTTATTCATGGAGTACAAAACACACACACACACGCACACTATATATATATATATATTACATAAGTTAATGAGTAATATAGTGATGACTAATGAATTTTAGTTGAGAAAGGATTTACAGAACAAAAATATAAAAGGATAAACATTTAAATTTTTACTTATTCTATGCAAAGAAAACTAAATGCCAAATACAATGAGAACAATCATAATAAAGAAACCGTAACAGGGGAATATATATAAACATGAAGTAAATAAATACTCTTAAATGATAACAGAAAACACATAAAAAACTAGGAATTGTCAAATTATAAAAGCTTTTATTATACATATATATTTAAATATTTTATGATTAAAAGATCTGTACACATATTCTGACGGATAATGAACTTAATTCAAACCTGTACATTGTACATTATATACTGGGAGATTTCTTTTTTAATTATGCAAATGCATGTACATTTAATAGACCAGTAGTATCACAGTTACTACTATCGTTTATAACATTACTATCTTCATCTTCGTAATCTATAGGACTATCTTCATCTTCATCATCATCATCATCATCATCATATACGACAATATTCCACTCTTCTGTTGGAACATCTTCTTTATCTACAGCAGATGGATCTTCTAATTCTATACCTGGTGGGAGTTGAGCTTGTACTTCTTCCCTATCCATTACACCTTCTTCATGCATAACAAAATCGGTATCGTAATCTTTATACCAAGCTGGAAGACGACGTGCTCTAGACATACGACGATTAGTTGTACTGCTTTCGTTTAAAACACCAACACCACCTGTACTTCCTAGAATTTTTATTAGTGAATTGAATCAAAATATCAACACTTACCTGAAGTGTATTCTTCATTGCCCTGTACTTTACGAGTATTGGATTTTATAAGAGTAATAGTACGTCTAGTAACATCTAAAAAGATCATATGACAATTGAATAAATGCATAATATGCAAGATACACTATAATGAATATTGTATATAAAGAATCAGTAAAATATGCTATCAAAATTCTTATTGCTTATAATCAGTAGTAGGGTTTCTTATGTTGCTGGATGATAAATAAAAACCTAACGGGATTTAATGTAAATTATTTACCAAGTACAAGTTTATCTACTCGGTTATTAAGCACATTATTTGAGGGTTATTCATGTTACCGGACTGAGACTAAACTAACGTAGGTTTCAAAAAAAAAACGTTTTGGATACACAGATATTGTAAGTTGTGGAGTTAGCCTTTCGAACTTACATTTAAACAGGGTTTTTATATTGTAATATTAGTAATTAAGGGATAAAAAAATTGATCATGTAGAAAATAGACTTACTACCATCTACACCAACATCTTCATAAGCATCATCTTCATCATCAGCCATGTCATCATCTCCCTCGCCATCACCAGTCTCTGCATCCTCATCATCTTCGTATCCATCAACAAGTCGATTTCGCTTGGACATCTTTAGCTTTTTCCGTTTTGTGTATGAGTAGCGAGCAGGAGGAAGTTCAAGTCCAACATCTTCCCCATCTTCTTCTTGACGTCGATGTTGATCATGATGTCGATCTAACAACATTATTGAATTTGTTGTGAATTCACAATGGTTATATCGACATTTCAGGCGACCAACAGCTCCCCTCGATTGACGAGCGTTCCTTTCTTCAGCGTGCATACTTCGAATGTGCATATCTAAGTCTTTCTTAATCTCAAAAGTGGATTCACAATAACGACAAACGTGACGACGATTAACCTTCAAAGCGTGAGCCCTTGTAATATGATGATTTAGTTGATTGAAACCTGGGAATCCGCGTTCACCACATACAGGACACGATATGATTTGACTGCCTTCGTGAGCTTTTACATGAGCTTTCAACGATGCCACATCACTGACATAGGCATTACACGGTAAACATCGAAATTTAGTTTGTAGAGTACGAACAATACGGCAGCTTCTTGTATGCTTATTCAGGTTATATATGCTATCGAAGGTAACTGCACAACCCAAACACTCTAAAGCCAACTAGTTAAATTATACTATTATGTATACTATATAGCTTACCTGTGAAGATGCCATCATAGCGAAATGTTCTCGAAGTTCATGTTCTCTTGTTCGAAGATGAGCAAGGTAAATGTCATAAGATGAAAAAGCTTTATTACACGTGTCACAACGGAATATCTTGTCCCGGTGAATATGTCGATTTCGATGAGTTTTCATATTTGCTTTCTGAGCAAAACGTTTATTGCAAACATCACAAACAAAAGGTTTTTCTCCTGTATGTGCTCGTTTATGATGTTCCATTGTCCCACCATTATTCGTCATATAGTTACACTGGTCACAATGAAATTTGAAATTGGCCGGATTTCGTTTTGGTTTTTTAGGATCAACATGACTGCGTCGAGCGTGCAGAAATAACTGACTGAGAGTTTCGAAAAACTCTTCACATTGACGACATGTGTAAACTTTAACGAAATGTTTTTCGCGCATATGTTTAGTAAAAGCGTTAGCATTAGCATACATAGCTGGACAAGATGGACAACGGTAAGTGACACCACTAGATTGCCCTGTTAAAGCAACGAAGCCAGGTCCTATACCTGATGCATCATAGTATGCTTTAGAATTCGGATCCCAAAGTTGCATTTGATCTGCTGGTAACTCGATGACCTGAGCTCCTTCCATACCAGGATCTGTGAACTAAAAGGTATTATGCATTGAAAATATTGGAAGATTACCTGTAGATACTCTGTACCATTCTCAGCAGCAATAGCTGTAACAGCACCCGAAGCAATCAGACTTTCCAATGTTGCTGTGTCATCAGCAGCAATTAGAACCATTTCTTCACCTTCATTGGACAAACCCATCTCATTTAGTTGTAATACCACTTGCCCATCTTCAGTCTGACTGAACGGTATGGCTGTGTATGTACCATCAGCATTTGCAATGTACGCTGATGGCTCATTAGGATCAACCATTTGATCTGACATAGTTTGGTGTTTACAATATCCTGTTTAAAAGAGAGGAAAACTAATGAAGCACAAATATATTTTCTCATGTTTAGGAAACGTTTAACGAGCGTGAAACATCTAAAACAAACTTCTTGATAACAAGCAATATAACTAGTCATGTGATAGAGAAGAGTACCAATGTTATGTACTAACGGTTAACATGTTTACATCGTTCGTAAATAATTGAAATAGCAATTGTGTCAAAGTTGTATGAACCTCATTGGAAAATTAAATGATAAAAAAACGAGCTCGAAAAATCAAAATTATAAAAAGACGCTAAATCTGTGATCAAGGCTTTATATTTTTAAAACAGCATCAAAATGTTTGTCATTACTTTTCTGATCTAGTACGAAGTGATTTTAAAATGTGACAATCTATTGACTTATTCATCAGATACAGGGTATAAGCCACACTATAAGTGTAAAGGTTATTGGAACTAATCGGTTGCCGACACAGATGGGGTAATGTTTGAGCCTGGATGGCTGAAAGTTGGAAGCCTTAACCAGTGAGTCACCACTCCGCACATATTGTACTGTAACGATTTCGTGTCTTGGAGGCTGTGGTAGATCATCATGGTGACGTAGATGATCTACTCAACCCACCTCAGCTGAAAATTGGACACAAGATGACAACTATGATAGATATTATTATCAAGTGGAATGACGCAGCACTTGCTGGATGTAAACAGTACCATAAGCCAAATTCACTGACTTGTGGATTCTATCACTTCATTAAGTCGATTGGTTCAGGAGACAATCAGTCACTCAGTCAGTCAGCTGCAACGTTAGACCAGGCACGTATTTGCATCGGTCCAAGTTGCCATACCGTATTAGCACAACAAGATGAACACCGGATTCATGGAAGTAGCTAATTCAGTGGTGGTTCTATAAAGAAAAAAGAGTGTGTATAAGGAGATAGTACAGGAAGATAGAATTAGTTCCTAGAAAGAATGATATGAAGCGATTTTAATCTCTTAGATTAAAGGAAGACAGAGAGTGCATACACTGACGCCATTGTGATCGATTCTGAGCCATGTCACCAAGAGTCTCCAACCATTGGTTACGATAGTCACTCTGACCCCAATCAGGTAGTCTGCATCTACCAACATGGCTCAGACCAGAAGTTAGTGACTTCAAGCACTGATGTCACGTTTTGGTTTGGCCGCCCCTAACTTTCTTCCAATCATCCCTAACACCGGTTACCATTGCGCGTCGCGGTAATCGGTGTTCAGGCATACGCAGCACGTGGCCCAACCATCTCAGTCGATGAAGGTTCATAACCTCATCAACTGATTTACCATCATTTCCTAATACCCTGCGTCTAACCTCACTATTACTTACTCGGTGATCCCAGCAGATACCCGCAATATTTCTAAGGCATCTGTGGTCAAATACTAGTAACTTACGAATATCTTCAACTCTTAAAGGCCAAGTTTCGCAGCCGTATAGTAGAACGGAACGAACTGCCGCGCTCTATACTCGTCCCTTAATTGATAGACGGATATCTCGCCTTCGCCATAGGTGACGTAAGTTGGCAAAGGCCAAACGAGCTCTTCGAATCCGTGCTGAGATTTCGTCAGACACCAACCCATTAGGGCTGATCAGACTTCCAAGATAAGTGAAGTTGTCGACGCGTTCGACTAATTCACCCCCCTATCCTTAGTTCAGGTGTTGACGCAGACCAGTCCTGAAGCAACAACTTGCATTTGGAGGGAGAGAAGCGCATCCCAAACATTCTGGCATTGTTGCTCAGTGCTACCAAAAGACTCTGCATTTCATCAGCGTCTTCACCAAACAGGACTATGTCAATAAGTGGACCTCCTGGTAGGAGATCAATACCTGAGAATTCAGTCGATGAGAGTGTTATTTCCATCAGTAAATCTATGATGAAGTTAAACAAAAATGGAGAAAGTGGACAGCCTTGACGGACGCGAAAGCAGATGACAGTTCGCCATTAGCTCTGACCCGACTATTGGTGTTCGAGTAAAGAGCCTTCCTAAGGTTTATGTGCTTCTGAGGTACGCCTTCCAATGACAGGCACTGCCACAGAACCCCTCGATCTACAGAGTCAAATGCTGCTTTTAAGTCAAGAAAGACCATTGTCGGACGCCGATAAGTATGCCTGTGTTCTAGAACCTGACGAACGGTGAATATGTGGTCTATGCATTCACGACCAGGTCTGAAGCCAGCTTGATCCTCTCGTGTTTGCAGTTCACGAGTCTTAGTTAGGCGTCCGATAATTGTCGACGCTAGTATTTTAGATGCTATATTAGTTAAACTAATCCCTCTATGGTTATCACAGGATGATTTTGACCCTTTCTTAAATATTGGGACGATAAGTGATTGTGACCAGTTAGATGGGATGACGTCTAACTCCCAGATTTTAGCTAAAATATTAGTCAACCTAATCGCTAAAACTAGACCGCCATCCTTAAAGACCTCTGGGGCCAATCCATCTGGACCAGCTGCCCTTCCTCGTTTCAGATTAGCTATAGCCGTTTGAACTTCAGCTAGAGTTGGGGGACCTACTTCAATGTTCCATTCATACTGTCTGGGAATAGAGGTTAGTTGTAGGGTAACTGAAGGCCAACTGAATTGCTCCTTAAGATGTTCCGCACATCGTTCTAAACGTCTGGACTGGGAGCAGATGAGAGTGTCGTCTTTTTCCGAAATAGTCTGACTTACATTTAATTTATTAATTCCAGTTTCTTTTATTAGTCTGTAGAGTTGTCTTGTGTTCCCTATAGCCGCCGCCTTTTCCATCTCTTTTGCTTTCGTTGCCCACCACTGCTCACGATCGTTCTTTAGACTTTTGCTTAATCTAGATCTGATTTCTTTACGCTCTTCATCGTGTTTAGAACCTGATGGGATGAGTTTACGAGAATCTATCAGTGCGATAGACCTTGAAGAAATCCATTGGTTCTTTGTAACCCTGTGGTTTAAATCACTAGTAGATGTCACTGCTGTTTCCACAGCTGCTTGTATAACTTTCCAATCAACATCGGGGTCAGCCTCGTTTTCAGAACTACCTAAGTGTGGCCTCAGTTGTTCCTGGAACCTACTTTTGGCTTTCTCATTACTCAATTCGGTTCTAATGAGTCTTTTTTGTGTGGCTTTTTTGCGTCCAGTGAGGCTCAAGCAGATGCGTGCTCGTATTAGGGCATGGTCGGAGTCCAAGCAGGTACTCCAGAATGAGCGACAATCTTCTATCGACCCTCTCCAACGATGACTGATGGCAATATGGTCTATTTGAGTCCATCGTTGGTTTGGTGCAGGGGGTCGCCATGTTAGACGATGTCTCTCCTTATGCTTAAAATTTGTGTTTGCTAAAAGTAAACGATTGTCTGAGCACAGTTGCAGCAGACGATCACCATTATCTGTTCTCTGTGCCGGAATACTAAAATACCCACCTAAATGTCTTTCTGTTTCGTTTAAGCTACCTACCTGGGCATTAAAGTCGCCTGCTACGAGTACTATGTCTGAACGTTTAGCTTACTGAAGAAGTTCAGAGAGTTTTCTGTAAAATTCATCTTTCACTTCATCCGAACTGCAGTCAGTGGGAGCGTAGGCAGAAACGACGAAAAGGCAACGACGTGTGTCCCTATCCTATCAAGTTCTTACGGAGCCGTTTAGCCGAACAGCGCATAGACGACTGTTTACGGGGATCCACTCTAATAGCGCTTGTTCCGCCCTCATGCTTAGTGCTATGCCTACACCTGCCAGTCCACGAGAACTAGCCATCGGGTCGCCAGATACACGGAGGGTGTATCTCGTCGGCACTCCGTTTTGCCGAGGTGAAGTCAAGTGAATGACCACACTAGGATCCTGTACACGTGTTTCGGAGACACAGCATACATCAATCGTACGAGATTCTAAGGTTTTAGCGAAGGAAGCCTGCTGACCGATTTGGCATAGTGTGCGTACGTTGAAGGCTCCAATGTGTAGTTTGGAGCGAGGTTTCAGTAGACCTGGGACAGTGTCCTGCGCACTAGAATCGTTGGCTGTGGTGACACTTGAGGAGGAAGCCGAAAGAGGGAGTTTAGATTTGAAAGTCGATGTAAGAGAAATAATAGGAATTGAAGAGGTAGATTGATTATGAATACAGTGGTCTTGAGTGCTGTTAGAGGAGACAATCAATTCGGTTTCGACAGGAAAACTCTTGAAAGCGTAAGAACATCGCTGTTGGCAAAAATATTGGTATTCTTGGAGGATCGACAATGAGTATCTTAAAAGATATTCTAATTTCTATCAAACAAGTTATACGTTTAGACAGAATCAAGCCTTACAGAACTCTAGGACGGAGACCATTCTAAAACGAAGCAGATCTAGGTCCAGATGCAACAGTCGTTAGTAAGAAATGTTAGGGGGGATAAAAAAGTTAATGGATGCTACCAGTCAATCAGATAATAACCATCCTAATAAGATGATAAAATCTGGTGAACAGAAAAGGCTGACACTAGAATTTGTGGACGAAGTAGTCTTCGATTTTGGCGCGAAATCCATTCATCCATATGGCCGAATCGTATTCTAACATGAAAGCTGGTGTCAGTAATGAAATTATTATTATTTTATTTATTTTAACACATAAATATCGGTACAAGAAGGCACCAAATACATATGCGCCACACAGATCTCATTTGATATGTGTGAGGGCTGTGATACTGCCCGGGTGCCCAAACCGAAGATCTAATTTCTAAGACTAACATCCGACTGTAAATCTCAATCCTAGTTCTTCACACTAATTCATCACCCATATTTAGCTCTAGAAAATAGGTGGATGTTCTCAGTATCATTTAAGCATCACTCAACGATCATCCGTACACGAATTTTACTTAGAAAAGTATGTAATATTATTGTTTGTAAAAATCAGAAGTTTAACGACTTAATGAACAGGCATGAAAACCACTAAGAAATGGGAAAGTTAAACAGGAATACTTTATAGCTCAAAGCTTTGGTTGGAAGTATAAAAAGACTAACTACAACGGACAATAAATCAGACTAAAATTTCGATTCCAATCCATTAATTTTAAAAAGTGAGAGGATAAAGCCAATAACTGTCACCCGACGCTGATAAACTTAGCAAAGCTGTCAAGAGTAATACTAATCTTTTTAGAAAACAGAAAAGGAATGACAGAAGTTACGAGCCAAGTTAGAAACCATGTCCAATAAGAAGGAAAATATCCAATTAAAGTTTTGAAGTAGTCACGAAACAGAATCGAATGCTATCAACTGCGGTACGGGTGACACCTCTTTTAGTATTAAAGGCACCATCCGTCGACATCAAACATCAAGAACCTTTAAATAACTTTGCGAAACTTGCAAATCACATAAAATCGCTAAATACACGTTAATTTTACCTGTTGACGAATTATTTCGATATTAATAACCAGCCATTTCTTGAAATCTGTTCACTGATTGGCTGAAAACTGGCCTAACTTTCGCGATGTCAGTTTAAGAGTCAATTCTGTCCCTAAACTCCGATTTACCAGATCCCGACATAGGAGGCAGTTATAGGGCATACTTCACTACAGCATGCGTTCGGAATTACATTTTAATTGGAAACCAGGATTTTCATTGTCGCGTTTAGTGTTGATCTAGGTTACAAACACACGACCCGGCACGTATGTGCACCGACCCGCGATGAAATTATCAAGACAAATAACAAACGATTGTTATGTCTCATGGGCGTGGGGATCATAGTCTCTCCGGGATTTTAGCACCAAACCCTCGAGACTGATGACATACCAACTCGGCACTCGCGGTTAGTGTCTAATAACCATGATGTTCCATCATCATGGCTGAGTTTTCGATATGGTTTAAGGACAAGGTTGTCTCAGCCAACTATGTGGGGTGCAAACATCTGTCACCAAAGAATGTGCTGTCTACATACTGACCAGCCAATACCAAGTCAAACCGATGGTCCGTAGTGCGAAGTTAAGAGGACTCTCATGATGATCACGCTTTGCACTAGGCATCAAGTTTTCTCACTAAGTTCATAGTGAAGTCACATTAAGACTAAATTAATATTTCAAATCAAACAAGTCCATAACAGCATTGTTACGAAGTAACATAGCACTACTAAACATATATTAGGCCGTTGAAGATGATATGTGATACAACACAGAACTACTCGATTTTCCCAATAGACTGGATGTCAACATCAGCACCCAAAATAAAACCGGATGGATAACTCATGAACAACCATAGTCTAGGTTATTCTGTATCCGGTGGATGAAATTTCTAACCATGTATTTTCGACTCATCATTGTTCGAAGAAAACTATTCCAAGTGATTGGGTTGAGCCTAGAGACAATAAAATAATGGTATACATTATATAACCAGAAGTAGAACCCGAATTCAAAGAAAAACCAGAAACCATCAGTTTATATTTCAAGTTAATGGATAGAATACAAACACCACAAGGTAAATACCAGAGAGCAATTGTTAAAATAAAATCATATATATTAGGTAGTTTGATTTTACGGGGATCCCCTAAGAAAACATTTTATATTCCATGCTAATAAGCACCTGAACAATGAGTAGTCATACAAGCTAAGTATCTGGAAGGACGCTCCTCTCCCAACAGCGGAAGAATTAAGTAGACAAAGCCGAATAATTCACAATGGTGGGTAACAACTTAACGTTACACATAACTTACATCGCCAAGTCAAACAAAGAATTATCGTAAATGCTACGATATATCTTCAGAAACATACAATGCCGTGTGACACTCACACTAGTATGATAATACGTCAAGCATGAATAAACCATATACCAATCGATCCTCCCACCCATCACCAAAGACATTAAAATAGTAATTAAAACAACAAAAACCACCTTCAACAAACAAGCAAAATGGCGGAAGTCCAAAGTGAGTCTCCTAATGGTGTTAGTACATTCAAACAAAACAGGCTCGGTTTGAAAAAGAAGTTATGGTAACAAATTTTTGCAGGATATGGAATGTTTTGCATTTTCATAAAGCATATGCACTCTTGACAGCGATTCATTTGTCGAGCAAGGAATGAGCTTCGTCCTTTCGAGAGAGAAACTGGCCAGGCCTGAAATCCAGGTTCTTGCTGTGTTATGACGTGATAAAAGATCAAAATTTGATTGATTTATTTATTAAAATTTTCATTCAATATTATTTCTGTTTAATTCAACTTGATGATCACTCAGTATAATATTAGTTTCGTCATCTATGACATTTTATTCTGTATAACATATAAAATTCTTGTATGAAATATTCATATACGTTGTTTTTATAATTGTTAACTAGAATGGGTGTACAAACAGTATATAAATGGGTGTATTTCCGACCAGACGTGTCAGGATTGCTCATGCTTCTGGATACTTGCGGAATATACTTTTCCGTTACAGACTTCGTCTTCTTTTTGTAGTTAGCGTGGCAGGGACGCATCAGATTATTTAGCTTGTTGGTCTTTGGTCACAGAGTCTTTGTTCTGTTCGCAGATTAGGTGAACTCGTAATCGCTTCAAACATAGTATGCTGTGAGATTAAATTATGATTTAATCGGAAAATCAGTGTGGTGCAAACAAACCGTCAGTTGCAGCTTATGAAGGGGTCGGACGATGCTCATACCAAACTTCCGTAAATGGGTTAAGGAAAAACAATTACAAAGAAAATTGCTGTATTCGGGTTGAGATGTGCGTTTCACCTTAAAACATGAAAATTTTAAGCTTTCTATCTAAACGACAGGATAATCGCTTCGTGTATGTTGTTCAAGGAAGTAGTAAATATCCGCGGCCAAGCGTTTTCATTTTCAAATGTCCGTTAAAAATGGGGGTAGCACTAGCATTAGGCGCTAACATAATTAATCATCTTGGAAATCGCTCCATCAAACGAACAAGTGAATTGTTCAAGTTCTGTGTATCGAGATATATACTTGATTACATAATGTGGTCTTATGTACTGATACTCGCAGTTACTACTCACAGTTATTACAATATTAGGCCAATCCAGTTATCGGCTGATAGTTCGCATCAACTCCAAATCAGAGTGGTTTAAATTAAATCTCTAGAGCTGGTTATGAACAGCTTGTTAAGCACATGAGAATGACAATGACAATAATTATGAGACAAAATTTACTTACACACACCGTACAAAAGCAGCTAGTATATTACGATCGAACTTGTTTAAAACGACCCTTCAGGTATATAGCTGGCAGAGCAAACTATAGTTATTTTGTACACGACCCTAAACTATAGATGGAACCAAGCAGTTATAAGGATTGTAGGATTTAAGGTGGTGCCTTTGCTCATAAAGTTAAGGCTTATCACGAAGATTAGTTTTATGTTACCCAATGAAAAAAAATTCCTAAGAGGTGTGGCGCATTGACTACTAGGCTTGTTTAGCGCCTTCGAATTCTGTTGATTGTTAGGCTATACTTTCATAGTAACCGTTGATTACTGTCACGTTGCAATGTGCACAAAAATACGTCATGTAGGAAAGTACTTACTGCTAAGTTTGCCTTACCAGACTTCGATCATCCAGTTACCTGCATTGTGGCGTTTATACTGTATGCAGTTACATTTTGGGTTTTCTTGATAACAAATGAAAGTGGGGTTGCATCTGTCTCTTGTTGTATTCGGCGACTAGGTAAGTTCAGGGTTCGGAGACTCTAATGTTATAACAATTATATTGTCCTTTCAGTTATAGAAAATGACTTGGCAGGCAACTCAGCAACCAATTAAACTGTTTATACATCGGGCATATTCTAAGACATTGTGTAGAATGTAGGGTGGTTTGGTTATAAACAAATAAACTAAATCCATACACCGCTCAATGAAGGAAATATAGCACTCACACAAAATAAAGAAATAACAGCTGCAGACGCATATTGTTACGCTTTCTTTCTAATATTAGGTTACATCATTCGATTCTTCAGGTGAGTAATAGAGTGCTGCCAAGTTACTAGACTACAAAAGATCGCATCTCTGATGTACGTTACTTAATGCGGATACTACTGGAATCAAGTACTGAAATAGTCAGTCAATTTGAGCAGGTAAAATAGAAGTGTTGTGAACTAAGATGACAGTTGCGAGAGTCAGACACCATGCGAAACGAAATTTGGTGTCAAATAGGAAATAACACAGTAGAATTTATGCAATTTGTGAAGCAGTCGTGAGTAAATATGAGCACTAACAATATCATGGACCAAAGATTAAATATGGTCTGCGAAAATGGGTGACTGAGAATGATAAGTCACAATAAAAGAATAAACATACTTTGATGTCATGTATGGAGTAAAGCAGGTATTCTTTCATTGATAAGTATAAACACAAGTGATCGGAGAAAAATCTTACATGAGTAGTTAAATGGATGGTAATGAGTTTCTAAAAGACAACGGTGTATTTTTGAATGTTCGAATTTAAATTAGACATTTTGTGACAGGTAAAAAACGCATGCTAAAGCATTTTTAACACATAACAGTCCTAAATATTAACTTATTTCCGATGGATAAGGGTTGCTATATGAAGATAAACATGTATTTTAACATCGGTGGCATGTATATAAATTAAAAGCCGGATATGTAATTTCTTCCCAGTTGGCTCATTCAGATTACATAATGATTAACTGTAACATATACAGTTGGAAAACACGCCAAGGCGATTTGCGTTTTGACTTTTTTACTCACAACATAACTGTCAAAAACGTTAAATGTCAGTAATTTTTCATCACAACACACTAACAACTGTAGTATCCGCGGGCGTAGAACACTGAAGATGGATCTCTGTAAAACTCTATTCCTAACACTCCTCATTTCCTGTTAGGTTCTATTTCGGGGCCCGATATCTGCTACGGGTCACCGACCAGTCTCTTTGATATGACTCCTTACCTTTGACATCGAGATTATCATGTATGGGATTTTTCTGCAACGAGGACTTATGCCTTTGTCATAACATATCTTGTCCACCTCCAGTATCTTCTCTTCTAGCATCCGATTTGTTCTCTGACACAGTATGTTATTACTGATGTTCCCTGGTCAATGAATCTGTGGTATCTTGCATGGGCAGTTGAGTGAAGATATCTACACCTTTCTGGTGATGATGTTGGTCATTGTTATAGTGCGTGATTTATGAAATTGAGGCTAATACGAAAATTCTCGTATGCAAACTTAAACTGCCTACTGAGTGGAAAGGCTGAAAATAGAGGGAGTTTATTGGACCAACTAAATTACATACATAAGCATTCATTTATATATATTTACTCCATGGAAAATGAGAAAATTTCTTGATCGATTCGCACACTTATCGTTTGGGAGATTTTTGACTGATACAACGTGACCTTCCACTAAGCGAGTTTTGATTGATCCGTTGTTTCAGTAGCTCTCCAAGTCCCAGCCCCGTACAATAGGACTGTTTTTTAGTTAGTATCGAGCGTTTTGATCTTGACATTGGGTAAAATTTCCTTCGGGTTACAGATATTTTAAGGTTATATGGATATTACCCCTGCTTTACCGGCTTGCGAATTGACCAGGCCCTGTACAATTATGAATGATCCTGCCTAGTTGTTGTTATATCTCATTAGGTGTATTTGGGTATCAGTTTAAAATATTTGTGAAGTTAGGAACGGTTGAACTGTTTTAATATGATCGGTTCTGTTACTCAATCGACAACAGTAACTAACACATATCACTTCAAACCTATAAGCTAACACGAATAAAGGTAAAACTGTAGGAAATATTTATACTCGAGATGAAACAAGCAGTAAAATGGTACTTGGTACAACCCAGTACATCTTGTAGTGAGAGCAAAATATTAAGGCATAAGGAAATTTAGAAAACTAAAATCAATGTAAACAAATTAGTTCGCTTACTCTCTCTGAATTTGACGACCTGCCCTTACCACATGTGCTTCGCTAGTGCAATTTTTCTGTAGGTTTTTGTGACACCGTCAGTGTTGGGCTTTATATCTTCTATGTAGCTGTTCTTGGGATTTTAACGACACGGAGGAGAGTGTTCAGGTCTGTTCTAGATTTTTCTAGTGCATCTTCACTGGCTCCACTACGTAACGAACTTTTCACTTTCATAGTCACTTCAAAGGTAACTCTTTCTTTCCAATATAATATTACCCTCCTTCTGAACCAATCCATCCCAGGTCTGTTGTCCAGTAAATAGACTTATGAACCGGCTTTGTGTTAAGTATTTGTCCGTTGTACTTCCTTTGCATTTGGGTTCTATTGTTAAGGGTACTGTCATGTAAAATAAAAACAGCTGTATGGTTTCTTCTACGGAGTCCCGCTCTTTTTGTTTCAAGAGGTATCCAGAAATCACTCAGCTTGTCAGTTAGGTCATGGTAAAGAGAAAATATATATGATGAGATTCCGAATGAAAGAGTCAACGAATGTTCTGGATTTACAGTGCGATCCATTGACGGTGTCGATAATCGCTGTGATTCCATGTCAACTAAGTGTTTTCGTTAATGCTTTTGTGACATGCGCTACTTATATCCACATAAGTAGAATAGAACGATGGTCAGACATAGAATGTATTTCAATGGGAGTTCGAGAGGTAAAGAATCGGGGTGGGGAGCGATTTGTATGAAAATGCATGGATAAGAAAATCTGAGACGATAGACTAATATTTGCAAAAGGATTAGTCAAGATTGAGGCACTTGACTGATATTTTGCAAATTAACTATTTTCTATATGGTTCTGTTCTGTAATTTTGTGCTCGAATACATTTGGTTGTCCCTACTCGTGATTTGTACACTACGTTTGGTGTCGCTGTCAACCAGGAGGGGAAAGGGTGCTGTTCTGCGAACGCCGTTGAGAGTCTAAAGCTGAGGTGCCAGTTGGGGGATTTGGTGCGGAGAGGCGACGTCGAGTGAAGTGTTCTGGCGGGTCGATGTTGGTCATATTGCTCAGGCATTACATTTTCTATTTTCCTATAAATGATGTTGAAACCTTAGTGTGTTTGAAAATTTGGCCTCACAAGCCAACTGTTCTGTTCCACGATGTGAATAAAGACATACTGCAACCACTAATCTAGTTTCTTCTACAGATAAAACGAGGAGTAACTATCAGTGTTAAATTAGTAAATCTTGTTTTAAACACAAAAATTCCGTTATGTATATCTTTTAGTCGTAAAACTAAACCTTTTAGATTAATACGATAATCTTTGGGCACGGTACTAAAAGTCAGATTCTATCAAATCCGCCCGCCGTTTCGTCTCAACGACATTGAAGGGCCTGACAAGAGGCGATCATTCCGTATTTCAATCGCTGGAAGCCTGTTCAGTGTTCGTTTGGTTGTAAGAATACCAAGTGTTTTTCATATTTCAGTAGTCTTTTGCTGCAAAACCACAAAATCATTGCAAAGAACATTGACTTGGCTCTTTCTGTCTTGTAGTGCACATTTTGGATAGATTGTTACTTCGTAACTTCTTAATATTTTTTTGACAAAATTCCGGTCAAGAGCATCCCGTTTTGTTTGCATAATAGTAAAACGAGTTGTTATTTTTGCTAGTATTATTATTATTATCATTATTATTATTCACGAACATCTTATGGGAACGTAAGCGTTGTGAAAAGACCATTTCGGGTTTCTCTAAAAAATGCAATAATACACAAGTTTCAATAATGTTAGCATTGTATTTGCGATGTTTGAAAAAGAGAATAATAATAAATCAGGTTCTGTGTAATTGAAAAGAATACTGAATTGAGTTTAAAGAAGGAATGCAAGAAAATAAGAGAATGGAAATAAAGGGGATGTGAAATATGCAAATAGTTTAATAGGCGTGTTTATGAACACGGAACAAGAATAAACGACCATGTATATATCGCCAAATTAGTTACAAAAATAAAATAGAAAATCATTAAGAAAAAATGATTTATTATTGTAGAAAGATACGACGCTAGACTAAATGTTTGTGCAGTCATAGTATTGAGTGATGCTATGAAAGTCTCAATTAATTGAAAAGGATAATGAAATATCAATATTTGTGGGTTATATATACATAATGAAGATAAAACGAGTCTGAGAAGTTATTTTAAGTGTGACACAAGTTATTGTCTTAAATTCAAACTTCGTAATCTTAAGAATAATATTTATTTAGAAGGAAAAAAGAGAGAAAATAAATGAACACCTAGTGAAAGGGTTCGAACATGATAATAATAATTGTATAATGAATATCGACCTCTGAAGTAAACCAACAATTCAAAAAAAGGTAAAAAATTCTTCTAATGCACTCGGATAAATACATGTAGATTTATGTATTAGTATACAGAGTGAAACCGGATATTATCTTGAACATTTGTGCAATAATAATTCGGAATGATGCTATGAAAGTCACTATTAATTTCAAAGGATAATCAAATACAAATTTCTGTGTTATATATATATATATATATGGTGAAGATAAAATGGATTTGAAAAGTTAATTTATTCGAGTGTAACATAAGATATTTTTTTGTTTTTAGTAATGAACTCTGGATGTTTAGGAATAATATATGCATAGAAGGATATGAAGAGATAAGAAGAATATCTAATGTGTTGGTGAATCAATAATGATATTAATAACAGTAGTAATTATTGATAAGAACATAAGCAGACTTCATATATTAAAATGAATAGAAATAAAATAAAAAGACGTGAAAAGTTTCAAAGGTTTCATTTTGCTTTTCACTCAATTAGATGGATGACGGACCTTGTTTGTATAAATCATTATTAAGTGCATAGATATTCAATAGGTGACTCAGTCCACTTTCGGAAAAAAATCATCAAGGAGATTTCTGGACCGGGTTGCAGTTTCACTGCGACGGAGGTTCACTGGAAGTCTGTTCCACATGGTTGAATAGCGAATATCGGAGAAATTATAGCGTAAGTTTGTATGGGTTCTTGGAATCGCTAGAATATTTTTCTTATTGCGTAGATTGTGGGATGATATCATATAGTATGAAGGGGTGGATACCGAAGAGTAGGAAATACCGTTAATAAGCTGGTAGATATAGACAAGGTTTAATTTGATACGTCTGATCCAGAGAGGTTCTAATTTGAGTTCTTGATATCTTTGGTGATAGTCTTTATTGTTGAAATACCCCAAAGCAGCTTTGGTGAACCTTCTTTGAACACTAATTTTATTCAGGTCATTATGCCAGCAATCACTCTAAACTAAAATACCACATTCAAGAATGAGTAAGATACATTTTCTGCATAATAATAATAATAATCTCGATTCCATACTATTGAAGTTTATCATTACGAATCCGAGCTCGAGCTTTCTAGCTTTGGATACTTGAGATGCAATGTGCTCAGAAAAGTACACTACACGAGCTTAGTGAGAACTGAACTTGAAAAATGCGTTCAGGCTGCATGCCCCTGTATTAAAGGTGACTCGAGTATCCTGGAAATCATACAGAAAGCAGCTACCCATGCAACTTTAGAACTTCAGACATTACCATGCAAATAGCGGTGCAAATCACCAACGTAGATGATCTATGACGAAATGATTGGAGGCTTACTCGAGTTAGACGGTAATGGTGTGACGAACCAGCTAGCGTCGAAGTTACACCTTGTGGTCAGCACCATACGTGGACTACCCCATTGACGTATCAAGGTACTATAGATGCTTTAAAGACTGTACAACACGGAGGACGTTATTACAGAGCTACACTAGTTAAAGTAGATACAAGCGAAACTAAGACCTCTGCCGCATGGGCCAGTCCATGGCGTACGATCAACTGATGCGCGTTGGCTGTCCTTGACATTGACGAGGATCGATGATTTGTTTGATATTCAATGACCCAACTGCCGGATGATTTGGCCAGGGTTCAGTGGAATTTCACTGGCCCTACAGCGGCTTGTAAGCCTTAACTCCTTTATTCTGTCCTACCGCAGATTAATAGGTGAACTGATTTTTATGTACAGAATACTAAGAAACTGTTTTCGACTTTTTATATGGATTTTTTCTTCCCACTAGATTGGAACATCTCAGAGAACATAGCAGACGAGAAGAAAAGCCAAGAACGAACAAAAGCCCATGGCATACAGGTTTTCACACCGAGTCACCAATTCTTGAAACCTTTTATCCGAAGTAATGGTGTCCTCACCTTTAATTAACTCATTCGAGAGAAGACTAGACATTGACAGAAGCTTACTAGATAAGGACTAATATAGGCACTAGGCCTTATGTCCTTAACACGCAAATCCGAAACCGAAGCCTAAAGAATGTTGGCTTTAGTCTTACCGATCTATAAATAACCGGTCTGATATGGTAAGACCTAAAGGAAAGTTTTTTTTCAGTCAACATATTTAACTTACACCATTAAGGTTTGTAAGCCTAACCACTAAGCTGAGGTAGCAGCTATAGTCAAGCGTCCGCAAGTCTCTTCTGAATGATATTTATATAGACATGGTTCGATTGTAAGAATTTTCTAGTTAAAGCAAGCTAATGAACGCCTGCTTGAGGTAACGTGGGGAGTTGGAATGTATAAAGATTTCCGTCAGTGTGTAGTCGGTAATAAAGAGCAAGTGAAATATAGAAGTGTCGAGAGAAAACCTGCACAATGAAGACCTTGCCTTCAAACCATGGGCGAACGGAAAGTAACTACATTATTTATAGCGCAGAGAACAATAAAGAGGGATATTCGGTTCTTTTTGTACTTCAAAATCTGGTATTTATGAAACATGAGGTCACTGAAGGTCTGTGGTTCTCTATTGCAATAATTACTACCAAATAACTTGGTAAGTCGTCTGGTAATCTGTTGAGATGGAGGATCGCAATGTACTACGATAAGGTATGTGAATACTCAGTTTAAAGAATAGGTAGATAGCAGTCGTCTACCACTTTCTTTATTTTTGTGACTTTCTAAAACGTAAAGTAACTTGAAATGCATCAGTGAAACTCGATTTAAAAGTTCTAGTACAGCAGTTAGGTTTCATTGATCAATACGATATATTTGTTAAAAACTCAATTCGTATTCTCCAAGGTTTTCCAGTGTTATCCTTGTAGAGCCCAATGTCAGTTTGATAATAGTTTAGTTTTGAGTTGATTTTCTTGTCCTGTTGAAATATCATCATGTAAAGAGAGAGATATTCAATATTGTTTTTGTTAGCTATGCTTTGCTCTCTTGAAGATTTGAAATCCTTAGAAATTATACTAGCTAGCACTTCACCACGTCGAAAAGAAATACTTGGAAACATTGTAATTCATTTGTCTGATTGACTAATCGTTATATTTAGGGTATACGGTTCTCCTCTGTTTGTCCTGATGTTGAAGAGTCACTGCCTTCGGAAAACTTTCAATCAATACCAGCTCATATCGAAGCCATAGCTAAACTTAAAGTGGATGCAGTGGTGAATACCTTGGATATCAGTAAAGTTTGTTTACTTTTTTATGTTCGTATTAATGAAAGTGTAACTATGTAGTCATAGGAGCAGATACTATGGTATGTTTTGAAGGTTGTATTTTTGGGAAACCATCAAGTCACGTGGATGCTGTAAATACACTTAGTCGGTTTGTGACACACTTAATCCATAACATTTGTAGTTTGAGTGGGAATGTTCACCAAGTGATAACCGGTGTGTGTTTAAAGTGGATTGTATCTGGAAAAGAACAGAAAATTGATCAATTTCATGAAGTAACAAATGTAAAGATGATTGAATTAAGTCCTCTCATTATTGAGGGATATGTTCAGTCTGGAGAGCCAATGTATGTCTCAAGGCGCAATAATTATGATTTTACTAGCATCATGCTTTTTTCAGATTGACGTAGATTAATGGTAACTGTTACCTTTTTTCTCTAACGGTTTGGGATAAGTTACTAAATTGCTAAATAAGTACTATCTGTTTCATATCAGTAGACAGTAGGATACATAAGTGTCACAAATAGATAGCATAACCAGGTTTATGTCTCATTGTGCTAGCCTATGTTATATAACTTATTCCCAATCAACTGTTTGGAAACTACTAATTTATTGTAAAAAATGATCAGTGGAAGTGAAACGAGCACACTCTGCAAGCACTTGACCACATATGTATTTCCTAATTGTAGTTTGAATCTAGCGAAATTACTAATCAACAGTATGCTAGGTGAGATGAGGAAGTCGACTGATAAGGCTATAAAATGTCACCAGTGTAGGTATTTAAAACACGTTTTACTCATCCCTAGTCACCTTTTACTCTGACGTACATCACTAACCAGTATAAAAGCATGTTAAGAGAAAGCCACCGTTAGGTCGCTCACAACCTATTACTATTTCATGAAGTCATTAACTGTTTGCCTGTGTCATGTTAGAAGACAGAGGTTTCCTGACCAACACTGACAAAACAGTAGTGAGCAGCTGAAGATGTTAGCTGCTCCTGGACGATGTCTCAGTCGGATTCATTCTCACTCCTACCTTAAGTTTTGCTTCAAATCAGCTACTGAAAACTTTAATGCATCCACTTATTTGTTTTAATTCTTCATATAATTACTTTGATTTTTTCATTGTTTTAAGTATTATAATCCTCATCATCCTATTTCAGGGATAAAGCTGGGGCTTATGGTATTCAGGGGTTAGGTTCAAGTTTAATTGAGCGAATCGATGGAGATTATTTCAATGTTGTCGGTTTACCTGTCTGTCGACTATGCAAGTACTTAAAAGCTGGATGTGAAGAAATAGTACATAAATTGTCAAACACAGAGTTTTTATCCAATCGAGTAAATGTTCCAGAAAAATAACTTTAATTTCAGTGAGTATTCTGCCACTATAAACTGATGAAATGCTGTCCTAATTTACTGAATAATTAAATATTCATATTTTTGTTCATTTATGTTATTATTATGCAAGTAAAGACTGTACTTCTTCCACTGTCACCTTGGGTTTTTTAGCTAGGTATTTCGCAAATAATGTTCTACATTTTCGGTGTGTGTGCGTTAAAATCCATATCGTCAGTAAATTATGGTATAAAGTATATGAAGAACCATGGATTTCATCTAAATGCAACTCACTAACCAAGTACTCCCGTCCACGTACTCTACTTTGAATGCGTAAGACTTCGAGATACAATTGCTTAAACCGATGTTTATGTACCGACTTTTTAAAATTTGATCCCTTTTTCCATACTCGGTCAACAGTATTAGATGAAAAAATACCTTGCACAAGTGTGCTTAGGTTCAAGTTACTAAATCCACATAAAAACAGAGAGGAAAGCGGTGGTAAAAACTGAATATAGAGAAAAGCTTAAAAGAACAAATGAGATGCAGAAATACGAGGTATAAAATAATGTAAAAACATGTTATTCAGAATAATTTAATGAAAGAATGGACCTGAGCCACTACAAATGATTTCAGCTCGGACTTTCTAATATTTTCAACTAGTGATCGTAATTTTGGTACAAGACCCAATCAGGAAGTGTACACTTACACTGTTCATAACAAGTCAGTCACCCTATGGGTTGATTCCAAGTTTGACATGGCTACCTCATATGCTGACCACTACTTTATGTGGGGCCATTCCCAGTATTTGTCGGCGTTATTCACTCTGTCGTTAAACCACTGGATTAGGGATCTGATTATAGTTTCAGGTCAGAATCGAAGTAACTTATAGTTACAAGAATTCATTCACTCTGAATATCTTTGACGTTTTACTCCTTACATACAAATTGATATATGTATTTCATTCATTTTGTATTTGTTCTAGTTCAGACAATGTAGTGATACGCTTTTATATCATGGTTCTAGATCCAATCGTTCCAAGTCACCAGTCGACGTTTAGTTTATCAGATACCACTGAATATTAAGCATTTTTGTGACTTCACAAGCGAATGCTGAGACTTATTTGTGTCAGTGTTGCACAAACACTTGTTTTACTAACTGCAAATACGTGTTTCTTATTGAATCTGTAAGTAAGCCTACAAGCTGGGTTTCGTCCTAGTTGATGTTTCATAGTTGGAAGTGTCTCCAGGATCTAGGGAAGTATTGTCTTTAATCTGCATCACTTCAAATCAGTCTTGTCTATTACCACCGAACTCTAATAACCTGGTAAGATTGTTAGTCAGTAATACGTGGGAATCGTTACTTAGTCATTTTTCTTACTAAACCATAGGTTGTCATCATACCCGAGAGACTTATTCCTTGAATTCAACTATGATTGCAGCTTAGATTTTATAAAGCCAGATTTCAATTTTTATCATAATGAATGATTGTCGAAACACATCGACAATATCCTCATTTTCGACACAGTGTTGAGCTAATTGACTGTTTAGAGCTATAGTACTTTTTGGCTTCCTGCTTTTTTGGATATTTGTAAATACAAACCTAGTGCATGTTCTTTGAAAATTTACAAATGTAGTTGAAGGTACTTACGAAAACTACTTATTGATTTTGATTTGCTTTGGTAAGCAGTTCGTTTAATTTAAGATGATGAGCCCTGCCGCTGTGAAAGCAGCCTATCCTTTAGTCTGATATTAATGAATCCAATATTTACATCCACTTTAAGGTTATGGTCTGGGAACTAAGGCTTTTTAACTGCATTGTACTTGTAATTGTTCTGGATTTTCCTGTACTTATAAAGAATAAAAAATAGGTTGTGCAAGAAAAAGATAAAATATGCTAATGATCATGGAGGTTCAGTTTTACATTTATAAGTTCGAGAATAAAATAATTGATGCTTTTTTTGCATTTAAACTTAACAAGCATTATGTTTATATATTAAACTCTCATCCTCACAATGGTATTGACCATCTATAGTGTGGTGTTAATTATTAAATAAAATGAACTGCCAAATTTTAACAGGAAAAATGTATTGAGTTGTCAGTATGATTTTATTAAAACAGTAAGGATAATTAATACGTATATTCCGTGAAGTCCCAAAGGTATTTTGTCAATAAGAGGAACCATAAGTTTGTACTAAAATATTGTGTTTGAGGAACTAATTTGATCTTTATTCGCTACTTTTTATCTCAAACGCCTGATCTGCTATAATTTTGTATTCTGTTAATTTCAGTTCGACTGGTGTTTTTCTATACTGACAGTCATATTGTGGTGTTTCACTTGAAAAAACCTACATATATTTAATTTATGTATATTAGCTCTAGACATTCTACTAATCATCTATTGCAGAGTATCTTATGAGTTTAAATTTCAGATAGGCTTCACTTGTAAAAACAACTAATGATTAAATTGGAACCGCCTGCTTCGGTTTGGGCACCCGGGCAGTATCGCAGCCCTCACACAAATCAAATAAGATTTGTGTGGCGCATATGTATTTGGTGCCTCCTTGTACCAATATCTATGTGTCCAAATAATAATAATAAATTGAAACCTATATTAGAAGTTCAATTAATAAAATATGACTGAAATTACATTATAAAACTGTCCAGTGTCGTGAAACGGTAGTGTTTTTCTTTGTTTGATATTGTACTACTTAATTATGATCGGTAGCTCAAGGTACAGTCAATTAGATGACGTGTGTACTGTTACTATAAATTACATTTCTTTGGTTTGGCGGAAGACTTTCCCCTTTTTTATATTCTCGTTTTACTAATTTATTTCTGTAACCATAACTCTGATTATTGTTCTTTTCAGTTCTTTGTTTATTCTGGTGTGTTCCACTTTAACACCTTATCATGAATGACTTGTTTACTTTTCAACTGTATATTCAAACTTTATTTTCTTTTGATTGTCAATAATCCCCTTGAAGCATCTATGTTTTCCGACTTCCTGTAATCTTGTTCTTATTTGCTTGTCTGCGGTAGGCTCATTCTCTCCTTACTTTTGACGATTTAATTGGTGTCTGAACGCTTAACTATTCACAGTTGTAAATGGTAGTAATTCTGTGTTATTACTGTACTTCTAAATAAATATAATCTTTTGTTCCCGGGTTATAATTGATAACGCGGTTGTTGATTAAGGACATTCTTGCAGATTTTACAAATCAAGTTGGATGAGTGATCTTCAAATTGAACCATAAATCACAGACTTTTGATTGATTTATAAATTACTGTCATGTTCTTTTATTCCGAAATTAATGTGATTTAAACATAGTCCTTATGTTTAATTTTCTCTACACAAGTGCTCTAGTTTGGCAAATCACTTCTTTCATTCCTTATCCTTGACGGTTTCACTATTCGTTAGTTTCCAGGCAAACAAAATAGGGGAAATAGACTTTAAATTTGGGAAATACTGGGAAAATCCTCAAGAAAATTCGGTGTCAATATAGAGATCTTTTTCCACAACCCGAAACCTGTCCTATCTAGACGATCTCAAGTCACTGACTAGTCGGAAGGCGAATGCTACCAACGACTATGAATACTGAAACAGTCTTTCCGAAACTACATATGCCACTCAATCTGGTTTCTTCAACATTCGGACACTATAGGTATCATTACCAAGGTTTAATTTGATAGTTTCGAATAAATTGAGCATAGGGTTGATTGTTATAAATAAATATTTGTAATATCCCAATGAGTAGAAAATTAGATTTCCTGACGTTTCGTGACTTAATGTAAGGCATTTCTTCAGAGAATAAATAACCAAAATAAAATTGATCCAAGTTTAAATAGTACAACACTAATGCAAATTGGACAACAGACAGGGTTGACTGTATCATTAGGACGTCTTAATATCGACGTCTGTCATGTATCCGAGACCCATATTCAAGACTAGTAAAATACAATGGATTCTCTTTCCATCTGTCGCTTCAAAACCTGTCATATATGCGTTTACCCAGGGACCCTGTAGCTACGTCCAGTTTTGCTGGCGTTGTTACACTAAGTTCTGAAGCAAGGTTTATTGGTTAGGTCCCCATTAGCAGTCGGTTATGTGCTGTTGGATTAGAAAGCTCCATCAAAATAAGAGACGATGTCTTCTCGTCATTTCCACCTACGCTTCAACAGATTGCAGTACAGATGCGATCAAGGATGAGTTTTACCCCCAGTTAACAGTTCTAGGAAAAGTACTTTCGACAGATGTCAAACTAGCCGGAGATTGAATGCTCAAGCCGGTTTACTAGGCACAGAGCAGAGTCGATAGGGACTTGTTGGACGCAGATCAAATAATGGTGAACGTCTACTGCAACTGTGTGCAGACTACAACCTGATTATGGCTAGCACCAACTACCGTCACAGTCATCATCGATGTGTTGCCTGGCGTCCTTCCTCTGCATCTGAATCCTGGACTCGAATTGATCACGTCGCAGTAAGCCACCGCTTGCGTGGTTATGTACAAAACTGTCGCTCTTTTTAGAGTACCTATCCGGTTTTTGATCATGCCCTTGTTTGCGATAATCTCCCCTTACGCCTCAGTAGTCAACAAATTCATCGTCCTAGACAGGTCGATGTCAACAAACTAGTTACGGTCTCCCTTGCAACTAGATATCGAACCGAGCTGCTTTTAAGGCTAGCTACCATCCCACTGAAAAGTATAGATAACCCTTGGCTGCAACGGCATGAGGCTGTGGTATTCGTTGCCATGTAAAGCCCACAGCTTATTCTTGCTCCCGGACAGGACAATCTATTCATTCTTCTTGAGTTACATTTTGACTTTGTTATGAGTGTATATGTGTGCACTTTTTATTTTGCTCGTCACATGTCGGTAACTAATTTTTGTGTGACCATGAATATCGACCGACGCTGAGTCAGAACAAGTCGGCTTACACGCCTTATCCAATGTGCCCAAACTTCATTCTTGTATTTGACTTATTTAGTCCCGTTATTCGCTATTGCGAGTTAAGGCGACAATTATATGCCGTAAATAACGACATGCATATTTCGATAGCAAGCGATCTACTTAGATAAATGGCGAGTAAAGTCTCTTACGACTTGTAAGCACTTGTTTTTTTCAAGCTTCTTGTAACTGATTGAAGCCCGTCTGT